AAAAAAAAAAAAAAAAAAAAAAAAAAAAGCTCACCCCGACATGACACTTATCGAGACCTTTCATTTGAGTACCCGCATGCATTTTTGATATATTTTTGATATATACATATATATAATATATATAAATATATAAAATATATGAAAAAATTGATGTGGGTACTCAAATGAAAGGTCTTGATGAGTGTACCATCGGGATTAGCTTATATCGTTAAAAATGTCAATAGTTCACAAGATACAATGTCAGTTCTTAATTATTGACATTTTTTAATATATAAGCTCATCCTGATGTCACACTCATCAAGAGCTTTTATTTGAGTACTCACATGTATTTTGGATATATTTTTGATATATACATATATTTAATATATATAAATATATAAAGTATATGAAAAATTGATGTGGGTACTCAAATGAAAGGTCTCGATGAGTTTAATGTCGGGATGAACTTATATCTTCAAAAATGTCAATAGTTAACAAGATAAAAGGTCATTTCTTAATTATGTGTCTAGAAATGGAGTATTTTCGAATGCTGATTGTACTAACTACAATCGCCGGGTAGTTCCATTTATCATCTTAATTTTGCAAAAGTTAATAATTATCCTGTGATAGTAGAAGCTATAAAATAAGGATTGTTACCGTTAACATAAAATTCTCTCCGTGTGATAATCGGTAGCCTGCATCGAAAAAATTGGTAGCTGCTACCGAAAATAATCGGTAGCAGATACCGAAAAAAAATCGGTAGCTGCTACCGATTAGCGATCGGTAGCAGCTACCGATTATTTTTTTCCGTGTACCCATTTTATATTATTTTAGCAGTCAATTATACACATTGAATGAAAAAAATCATTCAATATTATTTTATCTTTCCATTTGGAATGTTAATTAATAAAAATACTAATGAAAATTTACTTCTATCGAGATATTCAATTTTTTGGAGCAAGAAAAGATTTTCGCAAGACAACAAAATTTACTTCTATGAAGAACTTAATTTTTTGGAGCAAGAGGCTGAATTTTCTGAATACAAGAAGATTTTTTTGAAATAAATAAATTTTCTTGGATCAAGATACGTATTTCTTAAAGCAAGAGAATTAATTTTGTTGGAATAAGTGAAATTTTCTGTGTCAAAAAAAGTTTGCTTTTGCTCAAGAAAATAATTAGAAAGAAAAATATTTTCTTGGCTCAAGTGAACCTTTTTTTCTATGTATTATTTATTTAAAATTTATATTTACCTTCGATTGGAAATTAGGCCAATCACAAATAGTTGCAGCAATGATTTGATATAGACTATCAAAAGCGCACGTTAATATCGCATTAACCGCTCTGCCGTCGATTTTAGTAGCTCCCAAATCACTATGGCTGCCATTTTTTATCAACACTATACGTTTACTTTTATTTTTGTTGTTATATCGTATTTGTTCGTTTATTAAAGCCGGTTGATCTCCCAAATACTTGGCCGGCTTTTTTTTGACAATTATCTGCATTGACTTATTTTTCGTTTCAGTCTGACTGTTCTTTGCAGTAGGAATTTTTATTGTTTCACCGCCCCAATTTTCTTTTTCACGAGATGCAATAATTATTTCAATATTTCCTTGTTTTTCGCATTTCTTGCAAATTCGCTTCTGACTGAAACCTTCTTCTGAACTTAAAGGACTGGAACACGAGTCTAGATTGTGAATTGGTTTGTAACAAATAAAGCATTTGTGATTGCCTGGAGGTTTCTCTCCTCGGATACATGCAGGACATGTGATAATATCTGATAATAACGAAATTTCCGAATTATCAAAGGTTTTATCATGGTGATTGAGGATATCGAAGTCTTGGCTAGTTTCATCTTGATTTTTTTGTTCTTCATCCGTCTGTTCTTCATTTATTTGTTCTTCATTTATTTGTTCTTCATCCGTCTGTTCTTGATTTATTTGTTTATGATTCCTTTGTTTTTGGTTTTTTGGTTCTGAAATTTTTTGTTCTTGATTTTTTGGTTCATGAATTCTTTGTTCTTGGTTTATTGATTGTTCGACTTTTGCATTAACTATTTTTAATCGGCCGTTCAAAAATTTCGTATATTTATGCACGTATTCGTCAACTCTCATTGGTAGGACTTCATTTTTTAAAAAAGAATTTTTAACTCTGTTGAAATCGCTCTCCACAAAGGAACTCGATGCCGGTATTCGACCGAAGCCAAATTCGTCTCTTATCACACATGACCATAACGGTAAGTCAGGTAGATCATCAATAAATTTTTTTGCAACCGCTGGATTAAAATGAGCATTCACTCGGTCACCTTTTTCAGTTTGTTTTAAAACTGCTACTTCATTATTAGCTTCATTTCCCCACTCTAACCATTGATTAGAGATTTTTCTTTTTTTATTTTTTGTTTTATCTCCATCTTTGTCATCCGGTTGATTGTCTTCTTCTTCATCAGTATCAATTTCTTCCTCAAATGGCTTTTCAGGATCATCTTCATCAAAATCAAAGTCGTTTCCATCTGTTATTAACGCCTTCAAATACTTATATGATTTTTCAGCTTCCGTATCTCTTCCATCATCTAATACACGATAAGTTTCAGATTGTGATAATATTAGGATATTTCTGACGATTTTCTTAGCTTCTTCTCTGCTTGTTGTCATAATGAGCTTCCCTATTGCAGCTTTATAATAAACACTCACTGTAGGATGGACATTTTTCAATAAACGAACCCATGTATGTATGAAATGAGCATTGTCCATTCTTACATAGCATGGTGGCAGAGTTGGGCCATAACATGCATCTGCATACTCATTTATTGTAGAATGATTAGTAAAGGCTCTAATAGCACCAGTGATAATAGCGCGACCACCGTCAATCACGACTTCACTTGGTGAAGGTGCACCTGAACGAATCCACTCATTCAGCCAAAAATGAATCGAGTTCGTATTTTGGCTTTCACTTATCATCTGCAGAACTGGAAATTGGCCTTCGTTTAATCTAATTACGCCATGGTACAGATAAATTGATTTTGACTTTATTTCACCGTATTTGACGAGTTTTTTCATAATTTTCCCTGTAGCGTCGATGCCTAAACAACTGGGTTCTCTAGCATGATAATCACGAAAAATATTTAATTGGTGTCTACTCCAATAATGAACGTAAAATGGATCAAAGCCGATATTTCTAATTATGAATTTTCCATCTGTGTATTTTAGTATTTGTAGAGCTTGAATTGGATCAGTGTGCAAAAATTTTTTCTTTCTCTCTTCATATCTAGCGGTACGAAGAACTGGTGAAGAAGGTAAATTTGGAGGTTCTTGTTCGCCGTGTTCCATTTTTTCTTCTGCTTTCTCTGCGCGGTAGACATTCACTGTCTTCTCTCCCATTTCTGCTACTGTATCTTCCCTTTTTTTACCTCGTAACCATCGCTTACCACATTTTCCACTACCTTTTGTAATTGTACATGTAAATTCCACTTGCTTTTTAGTATCTTCATTGTTTATTATCCCGTATAGTATACTTCCACATTGACAATAGCCTAAAATGAATTGTAAAATTTAATATATATAACTTAAAATTGATTTTCGAATCAGTAACGATCATGTAACCATGCAATTAAGGGAAAACACCACTGTGACGATCGAAAAAAACAGGTGATTTTTGGGAATTTTTTTGACAATGAAAATAAAGGAATTTGGGGATCGAATTTTTTTTATTTTATTAAGGGTACATTAAAGATTATTACTTTAAATTTTTATTAAAAAATATTTAATTATTACACAGCTATTAATAATCTCGTAAAGCACTAGAAAAAATTTTCCCCTCATGATTGGTTCGATAACTCAAAAACGGATCATCTGAAAATAAAAACCCGAATTGCTTTTTAATCAGTAAGGATGTAGTAATCGTCGCACGTACAAAATTTTGAAAATTTTAATTTTTAAATAATGGCGATTGATTAATAATTGCTTTTTTAATCAGTAAGGATGTAGTAATCGTCGCACGTACAAAATTTTGAAAATTTTAATTTTTAAATAATGGCGATTGATTAATAATTTTCTCACTATTCTTGCTATTTTTTTGTGTTTTAATCCGGCTAAAAAAATCTTTAAAATAAAAATTTTTCGAATTCCGTACGTGCGGCGATAACTACATCCTTACTGATTAAAAAGCAATTTGGGTTTTTATTTTCAGATGATCTGTTTTTGAGTTATCGAACCAACTGTGGAGGGGGGACATTTTCTCCAGTGCTCGACGAGATTGTTAATAACTTTGTAATAATTAAATATTTTTTAATAAAAATTTAGGGTAATAGTCGTTAATGTACCCTTAATAAAATTAAAAAAAAACCCAACGCCCAAATTCCTTTATTTTCCGTCAAAAAATTCCCGGCAATCACCTCTTTTTTTCAATCGTCACAGTGGTGTTCCCCTTTAAATGCGTATATTTGAAACATATGGATCAACATAAATTAAAAATATTTTAATATTTATTAGAGAAAATCGAAATTCTTTGATAAATAAGATTTTAATCTCTTTTTCTACTCGTTTTATTTTTGTCAAATTTTTTTCTAAAATTAATTTCAAAGTTGAGAAAATTGAGAGTTACACTTGCAATTTTTTCGTTCAAAAAATTTATTGTTACAATTTGAAAAGAAAAATTTTTACAAAACTCTTCCATCAGTATTTTTTTAGATAATTCAATGGTAGTATATATACATATAATATATAATTGCAAAAGAAAACAAGTTTGATTCATTTATTAATATTTGTAAAAATGAATTATATGTTCATCATTTACTTAATTTCAATCAATAAATGCAATTTTTCAAATATAGAATATAACATTGATGGTTCATTAAAACTATTAAATAGTAAATATTCATGTCGAACAAACCTCGGAATGTGCCAGAACTTTCATCCCATGTGATGGTATGATAATTAAAACTCAAACCGCAAGTTATTTTCGCTGTCTCTATCAGCTTGTCGGATATCATGTCTTCCCATACACCAGGTGCCATAGCTTTGTATTTATTCATTTTTTTCGATCCTTGTCTAGTTTTTCTTTACCAGTTTTAGTAATAATTAAAGCCTTAAACTCTTCTTTAGTGAAATAAATAACATAAGTTCTTTTTATATTTTCATGTGTATTACAATCATCACTATTATTACTTAAATTCATTGATTCATCTGCTGTAGTGCTGTTTACACTATTAGACGATTGGTCCAAATTGATTCCTTCACAGTCAAACAGTTTACGTTTCAATTCGTATCTGTCATCAGTAACATAAGCATAAAGTGAGTGAGGAGTGATTAAATTGTGAAGATTACCGGAAATTTTTTTCCAAATAGTATTATTTTTATCGATAATACTGCCGCTTCTGGAACACACAATTTCTTTCGATTGTTCGAGAATAGCTTCAACGATCTTTTGCGATTCAATCGCTGGAGGTCTGCCACGTTTAGACATGATCGAAAGCTTACTTCTGAAAATGGAAAATAAAAATTTTAATTACTTATAAGTTTTACAAAAGTATAAAATAACATAGATAATTAAGTAAATCATCAAAAATATCTATTGAAGCTTGTTAAACTTGTACAGCGGATAATATATTTTTGAATTAATTTCAAAATATCTCAAGCAAAATTATTATATAATTGAACTATTAATAAAAAAAAATTCAACTTACCCTTTCAATTTTGACAAATTTTGAATGTGAAAACAATGGAAATTATTTACACATTTCTCAAAATAATTATCACTAAACAGTTGACATAGTCCCAATAATATACATCAAGTGTCAAATAACAAAAAACCAACTTAAAAATCAATATCTACGCAACTGTAAAAATAAAATATTTTTTAGTCACAAATCTATAAGATTAATTTATAAAACTTTAATCGTTGTGTTGTTCTTTAAAACATAAAAAATAGTTATTTTGAGAACCATCACAATGCATAAATTACATTGAGGTTAAGTTTACATGTTTTGATTTATCAATAATATATTGCATTAACAAAATTCAAAACCATTGAATGTTACTTCAGAATGAATCCTGTCAATTTTAGAATAATTATAACTATTGTGATTAATTTTTAATAATCAAATTGAAACTTTACTGTACATCAGAAAATTTAATCCCCAAATGGTAGCAGTCTGACAATCGCTAATTATTTTATTAATAAATTTTATTTTATTAAAGATTGACCGCATTCAAATTACACAATTCAGTTTTTTAATAATCGCTTAGAGTGGTCGGTTTTCGACTCGGAATTTAAAGTTGAGTTTTCTAAGACAATAATTACTTTGGACTTGAAGCTCAAACTTCCTTTCTTCGTGTTGAGGTCGAGTGTTTATTATTTTATAAAGTTGGTGCTACCTGAGTTGTTTCTTATACTTGATGTCAAGTTTGTGACAACTTACGATAGCAGATTGACGGCAGTCGATCAAGTTGAAAATCACAATATTCAGTGGCTGAAATTAAGGCGCGCGCAAGCGCGATATTTAAATTCCCAGTAACATTAAAACAAAGTTTAATTCTTCATAGTCTAGTCAAGAAGTAAATTTTCTGTGAAAAATCGATCCAAGGCTCTTAAAAATATGGTGATTGGTGCATTGAATTTAGAATTTAATTCTGACAAAGAGGTATTTTTTAATTTATCCGTCATTAAAAATTTAATTTGTTATAAACTGTCGGGTTTTCAATAAAAGTGGAACACAAGGTTTTATTTAAGCTGAATCTAAGTTTATTGCATGCCTTAAGCGCGAAGCGCGCAGGTATGCTCTACTCTCGCCTAAAAATCGTGATTTCGATTAAAATGTGATTTTTATAATTTAAACGAAAAAAATTATGGATAAAAAGCATATTGAAATAAATAATAGTAATTACAGAACACGTTAAAAAAATTTTCTTATCGATTAAATAAGATTTCTCAGAAAAAACTCGTATTTCTGATGAATTAAATGGATAAGAGCGTGGTATCACGGGAGCTATGGGCTTGACAACACCACAACTTTGTCAAAAATCACTTTCACGATTTAATTTTTTTTTGTTTTATTCCTGAGGAAGTTTATCAAAACCCTTGTGAAAATTGCGTGTCAAAATAATTCCGTTTCGATACATTTAATTTTTTTCGATTGTCAGTTCGGTGACTTTTTCTGGGATTTCGGCAGCCATATGTATTATTTTTCATAAAGAGAATTGAAATAACTATAAAAAAGCAGAAACTATACATACATGATGGTATAATTACTAACTGTTTTATCATTTGTTAAAATTTTTCTTTAGTTCGACCTACAGAGGGGATAATACTACTCGCGGGAAAATTCAAATTAAAAACGAATAATTTTTGTTATCATCTAGATATTTTATGTATGACATGAGCGCTTAAGGCATGCTCATTTGGATTTTCCAAACTTCTTATTCTTCTAATAAATATAAAAACGCTTCTAAACAATCTTTGATATCAAATAATATACGTATTATAAAGTTTACAATATAGAGAAAAGTACTTGAGTCGTAACTACGTAGTAGCACAAAGAACAGTCAAGCGTCCAAGCAACATGTGCAAGCCACAGCGAGCAAGCGGGAGAGAGTGTCGTAAGCGCAGCTCGGCTGCACGTAGACCAACGTCATCTCAATAAAATAATAATCATAAACTGGTTGTCGCTTTGAGCGGTAAATATAAATACAAAATATAATATGAATAATAAATAATAATTAGGAAGTGGACTTGAAAATCTTGTCCTCTTAACATAAACAAAAAACGAAGAGAAAAAGACGGTAATCTCCGTTTTGTAGCTATAACTTCAAAAATATTAAAGATAAATTAAAAAAAAAAATCTTAAAAGAGGAGTAAATTTCAGTATTATAAGTCTCGATTCCCGGAGTTGTAGCTCCATTATTTATAATTTTAATTTAGCGTTAAAAAGTGGGCTCCGCGCGAACGTTTTGGTGCGAACAAGATTCCGTTGTGAAAGTTTTTTCAATTATTTATGATAATTTTTAAAAGTTATCATAAATTGAAATATCCGGCTAATGTTACAAAAAAAAATTTTTTCACCAAATCTTTAATTTTGGTTGTTTTTGTATCAATATACTGCATTTAGAAGCTTGGCTAAAAAATTTTTAACGTAAATTGTTTAAAAGTTTCTTATAAACAAATAGGCAAAATGAATATTTTTGAAAAATTTTTTTGTCATTTTAATGTCTTAGTTAAAGAATGATAGAAAAAATTAATTTTTTTTTTTTAATTTTTTAATTGTTTTTTTCATTTATCTAACATTTGAATTATTTATAAACAAATCATTTCTTTTTCAATAACAATAACAGCTCTAATATTTGGAAATTTTTATCTTTTTATTTTACTTATGAACATTTTATTTTAAAAAAAAATGTCCATAACTAAAATATGGATGCAAATAAAGAATTAAATTAAATAAATTTATATTATTTTTTCTTTCAGAATTTTTACAATCTGAGATGGTTACAGTTACCATCTTCGATTATAACAGTTATAATTTTTGATAATTACAATTATCATTTTCGATAGTAATCGTTACCATTATTAATAGTAACTAGTACAATTATCAATGATAACACTTATTATTTTGTGACGAATTAATTTTATTACCATTTCAGATAGTAGGAGTTAATATTTTTGTATAGTAAATACTATTGTTAATTTTTCTCCGTGTATTGATGATACGGTATTTTAGACAATTTATTGATTTAAACAATAAATTTTTTATATCTATATATGGTTCAATTTTAATAAACATTTGTTTATAAAAAATGCATTTACATGAATCTTCAAATGATTCTATCTTTTAATCTATTGAAGTTACGGCTTTTATGATTCAGGAAATCGTATAGGGTAATTATTTGACTACTCAATTGTTGACTAATTCGTTCTCAAGAGGACCTTGACCTACAGCATGTAAAAAAAAACTTGTTTACTAGGATGATTTTTTTGAAAATTTTTTTTTGCTTGACGTCTTAAAAGTTTCTTCAGGGTAAGAAAAATTTTTCCTGCCTGAAAAAATTTTTTAATTCCAATTATAAGTTAGCCTCAAAAGGGGGTCCCCTTTCCCATGTAAATAATATGGAAAAAAAATTTTTGTTTGAAAAAACAATTATTTCTCGTGGAAACAAATAGTAAAAATTTTTTGACAAATGTTTCTTGTAGGAAATTAAATTTTCTAGAAATTTGATCCGATATAAAATTTTCATAACTTGAACGGTTTAAAAGTTATAGGCCATCAAAGTAGAAACAAGTATTTATGGATTTTAAATAAATGCACATAAAGAGATTTTTTTAAATTTCCATTTTTTATCATCATTTTCAAACAAAAACAACATCCTTTTAACTAGTAAATTATTTTTTGTAGTTTAACAGTTAACTTAAAAAAAAATTTTGAATTTTTTTCTAGTTTCTCCGTAAGATAAAAATAGTTATTTTCGATACATATGCGCAAAGGTAGGGATTCTGAATAGAGATGTACACTGGTCACGTGACGAGTAATTTTACAAACTTTTTACCGTCACAAGATGGTTTTGTGACCGATAGTGTTATCGCCATCTAGTGGAATTAACTTCAATTACAAATAATAATGTATTTTAGCGGTTATGTAGAGTTTATTTTGTCCTTGTCCACTCAAAATTTATGCACGCGGCTATAGCCGATTGATTAATGATTCACATATATGTGAATCAACTTAGAGAGATTAGAGTTTTATGAAATTAAATTAATATTTATTTAAATATTATAAGTGAACAAATAATTAAAATTATTTATTTATTGAATCTAATAACTAAGATGTCATGATAATAAAAATATTCAAAGAAAAAAAATATTATTATTTGTTAATTTCAAGCAAAGTTTTAAATAATAAAATTATTCAAATTTCGTTATTCATCCTTCAACAAATTATATCGATTCTAACTGGATATTTTATTTCTTATCAAACCTCTTAAATTTTTAGTGAGATACTTCCCAAATAATTGAGTAATTCTTCTAAAAAAAACCGTCACGGGACGTCTACGTAGTTGTATTTGACGGTAACAATTGTGACCGGGCCAGTATGGCCAGATCGTGCGATTTTTTTACCCCCACTTTGTACCGCTTTTCAATGTAGTCAGATGAAAGTGGCCTACAAAGTGGGGGGTAAGAAAAGAGCACGTTCTGGCCACACTGGACCGGGCTTGTGACCGTCATTTGCACAACAAACGTGTTGAAAAAAATAGGTTGTCTGTAAAGTCGGTTTACGGACGATAGTTTTACGTGCACAGAAAGAAAATTTTCTTGACTGGAGAAAAAAATTCTTGGCTCAAGTAAATTTTCGGTCGCCCAAAGGAAGACCGAAGTTGTCTTGGCCGAAGTAAAAATTTTTCTTGAAATTCTATTCTTGGTGGAAGTAATTTTTTCTTAATTCAAATTATCATAAATACTTGGTACAAGAAATTTTT